GTGTGTGTGTGTGTGTGTGTGTGAGAGAGAGAGAGAGAGAGAGAGAGCGCGCGAGAGAGAGGGAGAGAGAGAGACATTGATGTGAGGAACATTGATTAGCTACCTCCTGTACACACCTGATCAGATATCTAACCCACAACCCAGGTATGTGCCGAGCAGGAATCAAACCCACAACCTTTTGGTGTATGGGGATAATGCTCCAATCCAACCGAGCCACCTTTTGTTTATCACCCATCCATCAATGAACAGTTTGGGTTGTTTCCACCTCTTGACTATTATGAATAGTGCTATGGGTGTGCAAAAATCTCTTTGAGACATTACTCTCAATTCTTTTGCATAAATACACGGAAATGGGATTGTTAGATCACATGGTAGCTCTATTTTTAATTTTTTGAGGAACCACCATACTACTGTTTTCTATACTGGCTGTAACGTTTTACACTCGTACTAGCAGTACACAGGGTGCCATTTGTCCACATTATTTTAGTTTGTTTTTGTTTGTTTTGTTTTTTTTAATATAGTTGCCATCCTAATGGGTGTAGGGCGACATCTCTTTTTGATTTTGAATTTTCTTTGATGACTAATAATGTCAAGGATCTTTTCATATGCTTATTGGATATTTGTATGAGATAACGTCTTTTGATTTTGCTTAAGAGCTTTGTCTGAACTTGTCATTGAATGACTGTTTGATCTCAAAGGGATCTACATCTGCAAAATTAGGCATCTAAAATGTAGGGCAGTTTCTCTTGTCAGCAAATCTGTAACACACTTATCATTTACTGAAACATATTCCATTACCATTAACTCTTCAAAAGGAAAAACAGTATCTTTGATAACGGGGGTATAGTTAGCATAAATAGGAGTATAATATTACCCCCTAATGTTAAGTAAAGCCTACGGGTTGATGGTGTTGTTGCATTCTTTCTGTATCCTTGTTGATTTTGTTTAGCTGTTCTATCAAATTGTTGAGAGAGGGGAATTAAATTCTCCAGTTATATTTTTGGATTTTTTACTTTCTCGTTTTAGATCAGGGATGAGGAATGTCTGGCATATAGGCTGTGTAAGGCCAGTGAAATCATTTGGTCTGGCCCTGCCAAGTCATTAGGGATGAGTTAATTAAATGTTTGATCAAATATAGGAAGTTAATTTTGTATGGCCCTTGAATGATGTTATAAATATCAAAATGGCCATTGGCAAAAAAAAGTTCCTCACCAGTTTTAGATCTATCAGTTTTTGCTTCACATATTTTGTAGCTCTGTTTTATGGCACATCCCCAATAAGTACAGCTAGGTCTTCTTGATGGATTCACTCATTTATCACTATATAATGTCCCGCTCTATCCCTGGTAGTAATTGTCTTTGCTCGGAAGTTTACTTTATCTGATACTAACAGAGTAACTCCTGCTCTCTATTAATATTTGCATGCTCTATCTTCTTCCATCCTTTTCATATATATATGTAATTATCTTTGAACTGAGTTTTTTTTGTAGATAAGACACACTTGGCCTGTGTTGTTTATTCCACCCACAAAGTTTCACATGTGTTCATAATTGTTCATTAAAAATTATATGATGGGTACTTTAAAATATTTGTCCAATAATTCTAATATCTGTGTAATCTTGGTGTTGACTATCTATTGGCTGTTCTTTCTCATTCAGTTTGAAATCTTTCTGGTTCTGGGTGAGACAAGTAATTTTATCTGGACATTTGAGAGTATTGTAAGACTGGATTTCATTTAATTCTTGTGTTTTAGCAGGCTTTCCCTGGCACCACACTTGTGTTTGAAATGGGCACCAACTCATGACTCCCAGGTGGGGTGGAGGTTTAGGTTCTCCACTAGGCACCATTAACGTGGAGGGGCTCCATGTTACTGTTGAATGGGGATGGAAGGCTTCCCACTAGGCTTCCACTGGTACTACCTCCAGTGGATGGGGATGAGTACCTCATTATCCCCCATGGATTAGGCCTAGGGTGAAGTCCAGATGTATACTGGACCCCAATTAGCTTAGGGTAACTGTGACCTCAAAGTTATTCTTAGCCTTTATCTGCCTTGACCTCTGTTGATACCACTAAATGTATCCAGTTTTAAAGCATTTACCTCCCTTTAATTTTATGACTCTCTCTGGATTTTTCTTCTTAAACTCTCAAATATCTTTAGAATTTATTCATGGGAGCCTCTGTCTTCCCTGTCTATCTAACTCTACTATCCAGGTTCTGTCCTTATAGCCTTTTCTCGTTTTTTTATCCCTACCTAAACAGTTTGATCAATTTTCTTTTCTATTTATTTATTTAAAATATATTTTTATTGACTTTAGAAAGGAAGGGAGAGGGAGAGATAGAAACATCAATTATGAGAATCATTGATCAGCTGCCTTCTGCATGCCTCCTATTGGGGAATGAGCCCTCAACCCAGGCAAGTGTCCTTGACCGGAATCAAACCTGGACCCTTCAGTTCACATGCCAATGCTCTATCCACTGAGCAAAACCAGCCAGGGCTTGATCAATTTTCATAATTAAACTACTACTTGTAAAGCCTCCTAACCATATGTCCAGCCAGAACTCAAATGACATCCAGAACCATATATTCAACTGTTTATTGGCACTCTCCCTTTTGCTGTATCAGACATCTAAAAGGGATATTTCCCCCTCCCCTACCCAAACGTATTCTGCTTCTGCATTCACTGCTTCAATTAGTGGCCAAATCATTTAACAGGTCTCTGTAGTAGAAAACTAGGAGTTATTTGGCACCCACTTTTATCCTTCTTAATACCCATTCAATCAGGCTTGGAGTCCTGCTAAACAACTCTACCTCTTAAAAACATTTTATTATTTCCTTTTTCCTCAAACAAAAATGACCTAATTAGGCTTCTTAAATCACTTTAATTAAATTTCTTTAAATCATTTCTCATCTAGAATTCCATAATAAAAATGCTTATCAAAATGATATTAAGGAAATACACTTATGATATGACTTCTCTCATCAATACTTATCATTTGTTATAACAACGTTTTCTTTCCCCAAACAGTGGACTATTAGTAGGCTATAAAAATCATTCAGCAGCTTTTAATAATCAGATTTCTAAAAATTCTTTTATGAGATACATTTGAATAAACTAGCAAGTATTGTAAAGCTCTAAGCACACTGATATTTAAGTTGTTTTGTGTCATATACACACCATTTTATATCACAAACCAGTAAACACATACAAATTTACACATGTATAAACACACTGCACATACATGTATATGCATGTGTATACTGGGTCATGATGTAAGCTCTTCCAGGGAAGCTCCTAGGTCCCTCATATTTCCCAATCTCTAAAGAGAATGAAACATTCTTTTTTCTACTTTGTCTTCTATTATTGCTTCAATCCCATATTTGTGTTCCCTACAAGAATAAACTTCTAACACAAGCTCTTGGTATATAAGCTGGTACTTGAACATTTACTGAAGGAAATGAGTGAGATCATACGTTTGTGCTTGCTCAAAAAATTAATACCTACCCTAGGGTAGTAACAATTTTTAAAGGCTTAAAACACTGAAAAAATAACAACATAATAAGCTGTCATTTAAAAACACTTTGCATGTGCCAGGGACTTTTCCTAGTGCTTAACATGTATTATCTTATTTAAACCTTACAGCCTTTTTAGATATAATTTTTAAAATGAGGAACAGGTAGAGACATTAAATAACTTCCCACACTAAATGGCAATGATGGCATTCAAAACCCAAATAGTTGTGACTCAGAAAACAAAGATACACATTATAGAATGCTAAAGAGTTGCTAAAAGGTTAGCAGAAAGTTAACTTACTTCAAATAAAAGTCTATAATAACATCATTTAAAAATTCTCCTTCACTTAGACAGTGCAGGTCCTCATTAGTAACAGAGATGCCTCCCTTAGCTGGAGGTGGTGGATATACTATCAACCTGTAACAAAAATTTTTAAAAAAGCAGATTATCAAATATTTGTGTGTGTATATATACAAAAGAAAAGCAATAAAACAGAGAAGAAATTTAAGGGTGTTGCAAATGTGAAGGAATTCTCTCACTTTTCTACAGGACCCATAAAGATGGTGTGACCCTCTCCAGTTTCTTCGTCATCATCAAAAAACTGAAATTGTTTGCTTCTAAGTTGTATTCTAGATTCCAGGGGCACCTGGAAAAGGAAATTAAGTAATTAATTCAAAGTCAACTGGGAAATTTTTCAATAAAAAGAGCAAGCACAAGCCAAGAATGTTTTTTAATTAAAAAGGATTAAAAATATGAATCTAAAAAGTATGCATGATTTTTTAAAAAGAAACAGGAAAAAACAAGGGTCCGTTTATTTATTTATAATTTCTGGTACACCGATACTCTTGAATTTTTGAAAAAATGCTCTCTGGTATCTTGTCTGAAATCTCTATATCCATATTAAATTAGGTTATGTTAGTAAAATCCGAAGAACAGATATAGTATTTTTTTCTCTAGCAGGGAAGACAAGGCAATCCATAGGATATGGAGCAGAGGCTGAGGGAGCTTCAGTTCTCCAGAGTCAAGGAGTTAAAGGAAGAGTCTTCCACTGAAATTTGAGCCCATCCCAGCTACCTCATGGCTCTAGTCTAGCTGCTCTTTTTTCCTTCAGAATTATCTCCTGCAGACAATTTTTCAAAAGAAGGGGAATGATTCCCCTTTCTTATTATGCTCTTTTCCTCAACTTCTCTGGTGAGGCCCTGTCAACTTCACTAAGATTGTGATTTGGATAGCCCTATCTCCAAGTGTGTAACCAGGTAGAAAGATTTTTGTGTTCCTAATAAATTAAGTCAGTAAAATTCAGCTGCTGTGATAAGGGACAAATTTTGAGTATTTAAGTTATATTTGTATGATTCAGGTGGCTTCAGAGTTACCTACTATATTAGTTATTCTAGAACTGGATACATATGTTGACCGTCAGGATGGTAGATATTCTTCATTTCCCAAGTTTTCAACCATGTCTGTGTATGTTACATATAAGTCTACATCAAGGACCAAATTCCTTTATTTTTATCGAAGCCTATGGCATCACTGGAAACCAGCAGGGTAATAACAGACTGGAATATATCAGTAATGTATATGTATGTTGAAAGAGGGAAAAAAAAGAGAGAAAAAGGAGATGAAAAGTAAAGAAAAGAACAGAGTATGGAGCCCAGCCTGCGTGGCTCAGTGGTTGAGCACTGACCCATGCATTAAGAGGTCACCAGTTTGATTATCGGTCAGGGCAACTGCCTAAGTTGCAGGCTCAATCCCCAATGGGGAATGTGCAGGAAGAAGCCAAAATATACTTCTCTCTCTCCCTTCGTCTCTCACTAAAATCAATAAAAATAAATTAAAAAAACAAGAATAGAGTATGGAAAGGAACTAAAAATGCTTCTAAGACGTATACCAAGTACTATTTTTGTCACAAAGTCACCTATTCACCATTACATTTTGACACAACATAGTTTACAAATTGCATATAAAAGCAAATAATTCTGAGATGGAATTTAAAAAATCTAACTCTGAAATGAATAGTATAATAAAAAATATTTCCCTTTAAAGCTATATGTTAAGATTATATTTTAAAATTAAAAAGCATAATTACATTTTTAATTTTGTTTTCTTTTTGCACGCAACTTCCTTTGATCCTTTCTTCATAGGTTTTTGTACAGGCAACAAGTCTGCTATTGGCTTCGTCAAAGGGAATTTTCGCAAAAAAATTGGATACATTATTCTTTATACCAATTTCAGTAACGATACTTTCAAATACCGTATTTGCTTGAGCATCAAGGGCATTTTGAAAAATTAAAATTATATACTGTTCTTCCAAATCTGAAAAGAAATCAATATAACTATAAGTCTAAAAGAAAAAAATAAGTATATAGGAAGTTATTAGAAAAAAGAGTAACAACTAGTTATTCCAAGAACATCACCAGAAATCCCTGTATCAATGTTCAAAACAATATTTGGCAGAGTATATAAAATAAATATAAAATAAAGACCAGTGACAGTGTTACCTGACAATGTCACCTAAATTATTAAGAGAAAGGAATCAGAACACATTACTCTAGCAGTAGCTCAAGAACAAATCTATTCGGGGGTATAACTGATTTACTTCATTTAATAGGATCAAAATATATTTATAGTTTTACATATGTATAAATTAAAAATTTTATCAAACACAAATAAAATTTCCAAGTGAGCTAGAAAATTTAGCTGTAAAAACTGCTATTCACTAATGTGCAAACTCTTAAGCTGAAGCAGCAATTACTGCTGAAAAGTATTTATTTTACAAATATTCATGCTATGCCATAAATATCAGAACCATATCATGTATTATAGAGATTGAAGATACATTCTATGAACTTGCAAACTTCTAATTCAGGGTAAGTTTCAAGGATTCCAGATTTATATGGTTGTACTTAGTACCTATCAGTGCATTTTAAAAAGTTCATTTCATCAAAGGACTATGCTGTACACCTGAAACCAATACAAAATAATACTGAAAGCAAATTGTAATTGAAAATTTTTTAAAAAATCATTTTACTCATATAATACAAGGTCAAAGAGTGCAGACCTTTGGAGTTTTAACCATTTTGAAAACTTTATCAATGAGCAAACCTGTGTTTTATCATTAGAACTTCCACTTCATGTGGGCTTTTCCTCATCTATAAAAGGGGAAAGTAAGATCTATCCTGCAAGGTTCTTATAATAAATATAATAAATATAATACTATATAATAAAAGCATAATATGCAAATTGTCCCCTCAACCGGGAGTTCATCCAGGAGTTCAACCAGGGGACGGGGCAGGCGGCCAGTGGAAGGGAGAACCTGGCTGGCAGCTGCTAGGAACCCTACCAGTGCACGAATTTCTGCACTGGGCCTCTAGTCCTATCTAATAAAAGACAAAAAGGGTAATTAACCGTACCTTCGCTACACTTCCCATTGGCTAATCAGGGCGATATGCAAATTAACTGCCAACGAAGATGGCAGTTAATTTGCATACATAGGCTCCAAGCGGTGGAGCGAAGCCAAATGGTCCCGAAGCCTGCTGAGCAGCGAGGCCTCACGGCCCCGGGATCGGCAGAGCCACGAGGCCTGACGGCTGGGGGGCGAGGGGGCTCTGGCCGGAGCCCAGCCAGAGCGAAGGCCTGGGTCCCAGGTACCAGAGGAAAACTGGTGCCAGCAGCCAAGGGAAAGGAAGGCCTATTGCACGAATCTCTTCATGCAATAGGCCTCTAGTATAATATAATATACATGAAAAAGATCTATCAAAGTATATTCACATTCTGCTAGTCAATGGATTATATTTATTATTATAATCCAATCTACATAACTTACTTGTTAACTTATGCATTCTTTTACAATGAGTCCAAACTTTATCATCCATACTCATTTGTATCAGCATGCTCAGCTTTTCATAAACTGGTGGTATTGTCTGAAGAAATACAACTGGTAATTTACGGACATTACACCATTCACATTTAGTTAGATCAGAGGTATTTAAAGTAAAGCCTACTGGATCAGCTTCTGCTTCTGGAGGAAAACAAATGGAAATGGAAAATGAATCAATTCTTAAAACAGCAAATTCATAAATGAAGAAGAGTGTGAGAAAATACAAGTTTAAAATAAAACACATTTATTATGTTCTGTAAATAGTAACTTCTAGTGGGAAATGAAGAAAAATCCTTATAACTATTTTAAAGAAGTTTCTGCATTATTTTTCCAAAAGAGGATTCTAATGAAGTATACTTACAATTAAACATAGATTTTGTGATGTTACAGAATGAAATCACACTATCAACACATTGCGGACCAGTAGTTTTATTGCTAGCTTTACCCAGTGCCCAGGTAAGTGTCTACTGAACGAGTACAAAAAATGTTTTACATAAATATTCAAGGAATGCTTTAAAATTAAATACCCACTGCATTTTGAAGTTATTTATTACATGTTCTTACAAGCTAGTATCTTTTTTAAAGTATGATACTTTGTAAAACACTGTGTAATATAAAGCGAGAATTCTCATGATCTGTCCACAATGTGTTAAAATATACCTAATAACTAATCATGTATATTTAATTTAATCTTTCATTCCTGTAAAGTGCTTCAGTGTGAAAAAAGTTTAAGTTAGCATAAAGACATATTATAGCTTACCTTCTAGCGGTATCTTGATAAAATCTAAACAAAACTAAAAAAATAAAACAAATTAATGCCAATCTAGATTTATGAGGATTTTGCTACAAACAACCTAAATGACATATTATTCGGCACTTATATTACAGAGGGCAGAAGAAATAAATCATCTACCACGTGCTTAAATATAAAACAAGATAACCTCCCCACTTCCAAATTACCTCTCAGAAAGGTAGGCTTCACCTTTCTGATTCAAATACTGAGAATATTCTTATACTATTGACTTATTTTTTCATAACTTCAAAGAGAAATTGAGAAAATGCTATATAAGACCCTAATATGCAAATCAACACAATGGCAGAACGACCAGCGGAATGACTGGTCACTATGACTCACACTGACCACCAGGGAGCAGACGTTCAATGCAGGAGCTGCCCCCTGGTGGTCAGTAAATTCCCACAGGGGGAGCGCCACTCAGCCAGAAGCCGGGCTCATGGCTGGCAAGTGCCAATGGCAGTGGCAGGAGCCTCTCCCTGCCTCTGCTGCAGGCAGGTGGTAAGGAGCGAGGGGTCCCGGACTGCTGGTTTAGCCCCGATCCCTGGGATATTGGGTGTAAGCAGCAGGCAGACATCCCCCGAGGGGTCCCAGACTGCGAGAGGGAGCAGGCTGGGCTGAGGGGACACCCCCTTAGTGCATGAATTTTATTCACCAGGCCTCTAGTATTACAATAAATACCTGAATACTCATACCCAGATTCACTAACTTTAGTATCTTCCTACACTTAATCATTCTTTATGTATATACTAAAAGCCTGGTGCTTGAATTTGTGTAGAGTTGGGGTCCCTCGGCCTGGTTGGCGATCGGGGCCAATTGGAGGTGCAGGAGGTTGGCTGCGGGATGTTGGCTTGCCGGGGGAAAGGGCTGCAGGATGTTGGCTGGCCATGGGAGGTTGGCTGTGGGAGTGCACTGACTACCAGGGGACAGCTCCTGCGTTGAGCGTCTGCCCGCTGGTGGTCATTCACGTCACAGCGACCAGTCGACTGGTTGTTCAGTCACTTAGGCTTTTATACATATATAGACACACACACACACACACACACACACACACACACACACACACACACAGTCATTTCTCTTTTGCTAAACCAGTATAAAGGCAGAAAGGTTCATTATTACAACATCTAGGAAAATCAAAATTAAGTTCATTCAACATACAATTCATACTCAAATTTTCCCAACTGCTCAAAATTATCCTTTATATTTGCCTTAAATTTCCCCTGATGATTCTGTCAAGGCAATGTTACATTAGTCTCTCTTTTGTTTACTACTGTCTATAACAGAGAGAAACCTCCTTCTGCTTTTTATAAATAGCCTTTGAAAAATCCACGCTAGGTTCTAAAAAATGTACAACACTCTGGACTGCACTACATCAAAGGTACATGCCAGCCAGCCCCACTATTGATACAAGCTTAATCACTTGTTGAAGGCAGTGTGTCAAGTATTTCCACTGTAAAATACTTAAAATCTGTTTCTTAGATTAATAATGACATGGCAGATATATCTCGTTTCAGTGCAAAACATAAAGGAAGTTATGTACAGAAAGAAAATGTGAAATAATCTTTTAACACACAATCTGAAGAAATTACAGATACACTATACCTTATAAAAAATGTTCTTTGGCTAAATCCCATGGTACAAGGAAGATTAATAACAGATTGCAAATATCCAAATCATAAGCACAACTACTTTTTAGCTGAACTATTTCATTTAGCATTTTAATTTAAAAAAACCTATAGTAACATATTTTATATTATACACACTGCCTTTTATTTTTTAAACTAACTTCAGTTTTTCTTCAGTAGATCATATACATATTAATCTGTAACTTTCATGTAAAAAAAATTCATTCAAATTTTGATGATGTTCTTGCTAGATAGCCTTGAGACTATGCAACTTTCAACTAAATGGCTAAATTAACAGCCTTAATTATCATACTACGGAGTTCTGAATAATGTAGGGGGAATGCCATAAAACCTATAAGACATTACTGACATTTCTGCCATATAAGACATAGCATAACACTTTTATTATCTGACAGTCCCATCAAAGATAATCTGTACCATGAAGGCTTGAAACAAAACAGAAGCTTCGTAAATCCCTGAAAACCCTGCTATATAACAATGCTGCTGGGCAATAATAAATTTTCTATATATAATTTACTTTAGATCTCTGGAGTATTTAATATCATTCTAGTTTTTAAATAATGAGAAGCTAGAGTTTTTTGATGGAAAAAAGATTGCTCTTTTCCCATATGGCTTTTCTTGCATAAGAAATCAGGTCCACATTTCATTTTCTCCTATAAACTTAACCTATAAAGTTTCCCCCCCTTTTGATCATATTTATTCTAGAATCATAAATCCTAGAAAATAAATAGCTATTAGTTACCATAATTTACATAATAATAAAGCAACCTTTTAACTTCCCTAATACAATGTGTTTTCTTAAAGATATTATTTTATGTATAAAGAAGAATACTACAAGACAGAGTTTACAGGGTTAGAAATGGATAGCCAGGCACACCAAGTTAGGGAATTATAAAGGCTTACAAAATAGTGCAGTGCTAAAGGAAGATCAATGTAACAACAATGTATAGAGTATATTAGAGAAGAAGAAAAATGATGACTAAGAAAGCTACTTAAGGAGATTAAATTAAATTTTCAAACAGAAAATGCAAATTTGAATTGGATTGGTAGCAGTAAAATAATAAGAAAGCACGTATGAGAGATAAAAATTAAAGGACTATGGAAAAGTCCTTTGGGTTTTGTGGATACTGAACCAGTGCCTTCTGAGTGGCTATAATAGTTCAATAATCTATTTCTAGGAGTCTTGGTGCTTTAAGACATTTTTCTGCAGACTCCAAAACTTTTGGATTCTTCTTTCTGTCATTATATTCTTTAAAATACTGTTTTCATTGAGTTGGCATTAAGAATAAAATAGTAGCCCTAGCTGGACTGGCTCAGTGGATAGAGCATTGGCCTGCAGACTGAAAGGTCCCAGGTTCGATTCCAGTCAAGGGCACATGCCTGGGTTGCAGGCTAGATCCCCAGTAGGGCAAGTGCAGGAGCAGCCGATCAATGATTCTCTCTCTGATCATTGATGTTTCTCTCTCCCACTCTCCCACTCTCCCTTCCTCTTTGAAATCAATAAAAATTTATTTTTTTAAAAAAGTAAGAAGTGGAAAGTTTTTTTTTTTAAATATATTTCATTGATTTTCTACAGAGAGGAAGGGAGAGAGACAGAGAGCCAGAAACATCGATGAGAGAGAGACATCGATCAGCTGCCTCCTGCACATCTCCTACTGGGGATGTGCCCACAACCCAGGTACATGCCCCTGACCGGAATCGAACCTGGGACCCTTCAGTCCGCAGGCCGACGCTCTATCCACTGAGCAAAACCGGTTTCAGCAAGTGGAAAGTTTTAACTCAGTTAAAATACTAAGTATCTTCCCACAATGTTATGTCACTACTTTGAACAATGAATTATAAAAAAGTTTTTAATGACTTTTATGGTGAGGATTTATAATTGTTTATATACTATTAAATAAATATGACATCTACACTAATAAAAGAGAAAAATGGTAATTGGTGTACGATGCTACCTTTTCATGGGCTAATCAGGGCTATATGCAAATTAACTGTCAACTAAGATTGGCAGTTAACTGCCAACAAGATGGTGGTTAATTTGCATACGTAGGCACAATGCAGGGAGGCGAAAGGGAAAGCAGGAAGAAGCCCCCTGCCACTGACAGTGATCAGAAACCCAGGGGGGGCGCTAAGAGCCCCCAGGGCCGCCTTTGCCCTGCCCCCCAGCCAAGATCGGAGAATCAGGCGCCTTTGCCTTCCTGGCCAGTGATAGCAGGAAGTAGGGGTGGAGCCAGCAATGGGAGCTAGGCACGGTCAAAGCTGGCAGTCCCAGGAGCTAGGGGTCCCTTGCCTGGGCCTAAAGCGAAGCCCACGATCGCAGGGCCGCTGCAGCTGCGGGCTGGATGCCTCAGCCAG